GGAAATCTTCTAATACTAGCTAAACTTCACAGGGTGTAAAGTCACTCTCTTAACAAGTAAACACATCGTGAACGCTTTAACACTTAACCTACAACTACAGCCAATTCTTTATTTGGTAGCTTCACCTTAAAGTCCTAATCCTGGTCAGTTCATTTACCATCTCTAACTTAAATTATTATTGACAACATTGTTTACTGGTAAGAAACGACGCTGGAAAGGGTCCAAGCTGCAGCAAATCTTACAGGTATGCCCGTACTGTTCTCTCCAATCCTGTAACGGGATGGGGGTTGGGTAAACAAGCAAAAGATCCATGTCCTCATTTCACATCAAATGTTTCAAAAACTAAATTTCTACTTACAATTGAATTGAAAGCAATAATATACAAAACCATAAAGTCTGTCTATCAAGGGTCATAACTTTAATTACTTCAATTTTAAAAATAAAGCCACGCATAGTCTTGATTGACTACTTTTCTATTGGGTAACCAACCAGTTTCCAGTCTACCGATTGAAAAAGAAATCTCGAATGGATGGCCTGGCGGACGAATAGCCACATGGGTCATGCCAGTATGTGGCATATCAGTTGCCATGAAACTTTTGGCTGTATAATCAGAAATGAAATGAGGTTTAACGTCTCGCGTTTCTGCCATGACTGGGCTAATGAGAACGGTTATATAATCCCGCCCGCACATAAAATAATATATGTATTTATTTCGTACATAACTATAGTTCAATCAGTAAAAACGTCATGCATTAACACACCAATACCAAATTGATTGAATAAATATCCAAATCTGTCTTTGTCTAAAAGCATCCAGTATCAATTAATAACAGTGTAATAAAATATGCTGTCAAATTGTCAGTAGTTAAATCTTTTTGTGTCTAGAAAACATTAAAAACAAGAAATTAATGCATCTACAGAATCTGATACTCATTTGTTACAATTCTCTTTATTATGGTGTTATAAAAGATTTTTGCAATAATGCACATTATACCATGTGGGTTTATATGGAATATAGTCATTTAACTTTAGATAATTTTGACAACACTTTTTGCCTTACTATAAAACATTTTACATTTTAATAGATTAAAAAAAAAGACAATAACCAAAACATACTGTCCATTTAACAGACATGACACATAGACATTTAAAACACCCACATCTAGTGGAATCAGAAGATTACGAGTAGTCATCGCAGCTCTTAAAGAACGAGGATATCGCAAGTACGTATTAAAGACAGATATCTTGAGCTTAAACACAAGTATTTACATCTCACGGAATCAGTATTGCATGTACACATGGAATGTCAGAATTCAAAGGTCTGACTCTAACCTTCTGCTGTAAATTTCTACAACGGAAGCAATATACAGCCGCACATGGACCCAACTCGATATCGGAATCCAATGAATCTAAGAAAAGGGCAGGCTCATAGTGGAAGAGAAAAGATGAAAGGGACGGGATGTAAATTCACAGACATATTTACATTCATAGTCCTACATATTGTTTCCTGGTTCACGCCTATCTGCTTAAATTTTACTACATATATATTGACAGATTTGACGAGTTCAAGATTTACGTTGTCTTAGAAAAGTTATAGAGATTTAGGATTTAAACATGTTAGACTTTCTTTGTAATGTGACATACCCACGTCATTGATTAAAATAAATGACCTAATGCGTCATATTCTGGTAACATAAATGGTGGTTTAAAATATTGTTCTCCATATTCAGGGAAGTGTTTCATTTTGTGAAGCTATCAAGCTTTGTATTGCGAGGTTACACTTGTCTCTATATTACTTCCAATATTCATCCACATAAGCAGCCACCCACGAGCACCGCATGAGACATATGTGATGCAACACTTCACCCCCACCAGGCTAAAATGTAAGGTTTGTGGTCTGCATGCCATAGTTAGTCATGAATCACCATAGTTTCGAGCAAAGCGGATTTGTTCGATTCTAACGAAAAAAAGTTTTCAAATAAGATTTCAAATCACCCCTTTAAAAGGACGGTACACGTTTACATAAATAATCAACAAAGCCTAAGGGAATGTGTGGTGAAAGTGAACATTTTCTTGTCGTAATACAGCCAAATAATTTATTGGTTTGAACAAAGTGAATATTTTGATGGTAGCTATAAATCATAATCTAACATGTCGAGTGTCAATACATATTTTTCTTATATTTATTAATCATTCTCAAATGTAACACGTGTTTAAAAGAGTTTCATTTGTAAAAATATATAGGCTGATTCCAAATATTTCAATGTACTATCTAATTTCAGCTATTTCATAACTCTAGCCGACAAATGCCATCTGTTCTTGGTATATGACAATATCTGTTATACAATAATTTGGTAATTTTGAGACTAACCTATGACGATTTCCATTCTATTATCATGTGTGCAGTTTGGTGTTGAGTGCTCGAACAGATGTCAGGAAGGGTTTTTACATCTACGTCATAATCGAACGATCAAACACTAGTGATTTCCTTGTTAGCCATACGGGCACCATTCTGTTCTCGGGGCACGTCGGGATTCAAACGTGGGTCGTTCTAGTGAAAAACAGACCACGCAACAACCGAGACCCCAGTATTTTGAAGAAAACTTAAGTTTAAAATAGTCCCTATCCCCTGTCTTTCTTCCGATTCAACAGTACTAAAATGAAACTACCCATTTTACAAACCACACCTACACGTAGCTATGCCCACTGCCATTACACATTTCTATGGGACCATGAACCTAATTGTTTGTACATGTGTCTATGTTTTGTTCTTGTCACGTTTACCTGACCTTTAGATAGGAAACCCGTGGTCGACAAACTATTTTGTACCCCTCGGAGTGAAAGTGTGTGTCTATTGAACAGAAAGTTGACATTTTCTTTCATGCTTGCTGTGGGAGAACCGGGTATTTGAAAAAAGGTATTAAATGGGTTTTATCTGCACGGCCAGATTATGTCATGGGCTTGGTTAATGCAGATTCCGAATGGTTAGCACGTGCGCGCTGCGCTGTACCATACGGTCTGTCATTGAGTCAACTGGTGGGGTTTCGAATCCCTGGTTGTACGTGACAAGGAGTAGGGTCGCCTGTCCAACCTCGAGGTTTTTCTCCTGGCCCTCTGGTTTCCTCCCACTGCTATGGATTAGTGGTGCAAAATGATATATATATATATATATACGATTAGATTTTCCTTTCGAAATATTAAGCGGCAGTTGGTTTGTTCACACTAAGTTTAGCTTCGTTTTGTGGCTTCAGCTGTGAAAACAAAATCAGCTGTATCTCAACACTGGTGCTATCTGTAGACATAGAATATTGACAGATACCACCACTTCGTAAAACAAATCAACACATCAAATTCAACTAAATCTACTCATTGATTGTCTCCTCAAATCACACATATCTAAACAGTCTAAAGGGATTAATCTGATGAGTAAAGATGAAACAATATTTATCTACTTCTGAAACGATTACCTGTTTACATCAACACTTATCTAATCATTTTTGAATACTTTATTTTATTTCATCTCGGGGGTTACGATGATATTTGACATCAATACCGATATATCTGAGCGAGCGTTGATAAATTAAAACCACATAAAGGGTTGATGGCAACTAGTAAAGATTAAACTTGGGATAAAAGATTTGTACTGATAACGATATGCTATACTTTTCAAGTCATTGATGCTTGGGGTCAAAATGTAACCCTGACCCCCATCATTGATGAAATGGAGATAATGCATTACATAATCGGAATGGCTACTTATAAGGTCAGCCTATCAATAGGCAATACGATTTGATAATGAGGTATTTAGAAATATACCTATAGTTCACATTTAAATATATAATAGGTGATTATTTTACCTATGTATAGCTAGACATTTAACTGAGCTTGGATCTTTCTTGGCGGCTTCGGTGACATTTTGTCTATATACTTATTTATCTTTAACCTAAATATATTTGTTGCTGGGAGTTACAATTAGTTCTTATCGTTTTAGGTGTTCGTATTTTTTTTTGTCGCATACAACATTAACATAAATATCTTGGCCTACTAAATATAGATAAAAATGATTATATCTAAGGATTATATCTAATCCCATATTGTGATACTCGGCAACAGAATAGATTCTCCATTAAATATTATAATTTCATGTATTCACTTTTCTATAAAGGAAAAATGTATCCTACTGCGTGTCTATTTTAACGCGCGTATTTCACTGTATATATTTATATGTCTGCTTATCTTCGGTATTATTTAGCGTTTTTATTTTAAGTCAAATATGCTTTTTGGATTCCAAACAAGTCTGTTTACTCTATCATAATGTCAGGACTGAAAAAGAAACAGATCCTAACAAGGATTAGTGGCACAATCTATGGCTATTATCCTAGTACGTTTTTTTCTTTCAAATTTTATCTAAGTTTTTACGCATTCTAAGGTAAACCAATAGTGTGTAACATTTATATTAGTGTTGACATTTTATCATCAGTATCGCATGATGAGAATTAGTTGGGAATATGTTTCTAAAAAAGATTATAGTGATAAGTTTAAGGGTGCTCGAACATAACCAGACTTCATTGTAGAAACCTGAAACCTGTGATAACGTTATTGTGGTTGAAGTTTTCCATAAAAAAATATTTTTCGTAAGTTTAAGTGTACCTGCAAATACCCCGAATCTTTCGTAGTTCAAAACATGATACATGTGACTACGCCATTGTCGTTCAAATTTTCTATACAAGATCACAGCTTTGTAAGCTTATGTGCACCTTAACATGAACCTATATGATTACGTCATTGTGGTTGAAATTTTCTCTTAGCTTTGTAAGTTTATGTGTACCTGAAATAACCTGACTTTACTGTAAAAAATCCAAAAACCATGATTACGTCATTTGTTGTTGAAGTTTCCCATTAGCTTTGTAAGTTTATGTGTACGTGAAATTAGCCGACTTCATTATAAAAACCCATGAAACCTGTGATTGTGGTTGAGGTTGTCTATAAAAGATTATATCTTTGTAAGTTTAAGTCATCTTGCAAATAACATGACCCGAAACCTGGGATTAAGTCACTGTAGTTGAAGTTTCATTTAACCGTTTAGCTGATTTCGGTAGGTGTACATACACTTTCATGCATTTTGGTAGGTGTGCATAGACTATCGAGCATTTTGGTAGGTGTGCAGAGACTGTCAAGCATTTTGGTAGGTGTGCAGAGACTGTCAAGCATTTTGGTAGGTGTGCATAGACTATCATACATTTTGGTAGGTGTGCAGAGATTGTCAAGCATTTAGGTAGGTGTGCATAAACTATCAAGCATTTTGGTAGGTGTGCAGAGACTGTCAAGCATTTTGGTAGGTGTGCATAGACTATCATACATTTTGGTAGGTGTGCATAAACTGTCATACATTTTCAAGCTGTGAATTTATTAAGATGAATATACAATCTACAAAAACGTATTATTGATCTAAAATAAGAGTATCGGTGTTCATTCATTGGTGTATTTCCTCTCCCTATAAAGTACATAACGCGTTGGGGATGCCTTTCATGACAAAGCACCTGTCTTTTCCCGTTTCATTATGATTTTCGCAAATGAACCGTATCATTTCATTCTGTTATTCTACTAAAAACAGTGAGGCGTATATTGTGCTTGCGGGGTTGGGGGGTCTGAAAGGTCTACATATAGATCGTATATTATGATCGGGTGGTGTAAAGCGATAGCTGCATTTTTAAAAATCATATGTTTAAGTAGGAATAATCCTATAATTGAGAAACATATCATTTTCAAGTTGAAATATCAACGTTGAGCTATTTTCATGAAAACAAAGGAGGTATTTTTGCTAGTATGTCCAGTGTTACTATTATTTCAAGTGCTAGAATGATTCCCATGATTGCATAATAGTGTTTGACACTATTAGATGGTCTATATATTGTTTGTGGCTTCGAATGTCTACATGTAGTTAGTATATTACGTTCGGTGGTTTAGAAGGTCTATATGTTGTTTGTATATCATATTCGGGTGGTTTAACAGGTCTACATGTAGTTAGTATATTATGTTCTGGTTGTTTAGAAGGTCTATATGGTGTTTGTATATCATATTCGAGTGGTTTAAAAGGTCTACGTGTAGTTAGTATATTATGTTCGGGTGGTTTAGAATGTATGTATATATATATGTAGATCGTATTTTATGTTCGGGTGGTTTAGAATGTCCACATATATGTAGATCGTATATTATGTTCGGGTGGTTTAGACTGTCTACATGTAGTTAGTATATTATGTTGTTTGTGGCTTCGAATGTCTACGTGTAGTTAGTATATTATGTTCGGGTGGTTTAGAATGTATATAATAAATGTAGATCGTATATAATGTTCGGGTGGTTTAGAATTTCCACATGTATGTTGATCGTATATTATGTTCGGGTGGTTTAAAATGTCTACATGTAGTTAGTATTTGATGTTTGGTGGTTTAGAATGTCTACATGTCGGTGGAATTGAAAGGATGCATGTAGATCGTATATTATGTTCGGGTGGTTTAGAATGACTACACGTTTATATGTAGATCGTATATAATGTTCGGGTGGTTTATTAGAATGTCCACATGTATGTATATCGTATATTATGTTCGGTGGTTTAGAATGTCTGCATGTAGTTTGTGTATTATGTCCGGGTGGTGTAGAGGGTCTACATATAATGCATCATGTATTATGACGAGTTTGTGTATATCATTTAATAATGCTGTATATGCAGCACATAACACATAGTTAATGGTTACATAGTTAATCTGAACAATTTTTTCACATTATAGAGAAATTGTCATTGCATAACTTTTGTGTTAGACAATACGATTTGAACTAAATATAGAAAAATAATCCGATACAAAGTAGTATATTTTGTTAGGCAATATCAGATAAATTCGAAATTTACCACAAATGTGGTGGCTATCTTTCATGGGATGCAGTAATCCTTTCTTCTGCATATTTCAGAGCTGTGTACCGTTTCATTCAGATATGTTACAGTCAATAGAGAAATTTAGAAATGTGTCTTGACAAACGTAAAGAGTTTTATAGAAGAGCTGTGGGATGACAACAATTTCTTGTTTGTGGTTTTTCATACCCTGAATAGTCAACAGTCAGTATACCGACAGTCTGTGGGAGTTTAGATACTTTAAAACATATTTAACTTTATTTTAAGGTGTACTCTTAACTTTTCTCAAGCAATATCGACTTTTGGTAATTGGGGGTTGGGGGGGGGGCGGATACTTCGAATTTTGGGGGTTTTCACCGTAAAAAGAGGAACTATCATTTTAGATTAATATGTAAAATTAATCGAAAATTTACAAATTTGCCAGTGTGCAAAATTTGATACAAACATACATTGCTCAGAAATAGAAGTTTCAAAAATTAACTTTCTACTCTAACTGTCTAACACATTTTAGTAAATTATGTTTTACAGAATTTCACCAAACTCAAACCAAATGCCTTGCTCTAAGATTTTATATAATTCGGTATATTATTATTATATCAAATTGTGTAGATTTGTGTTCTTAGTAAAGGTGGTAATACTACTTTAATATTCAAATTATTTTAAACTTTTCAAGTCTGCAGACGAAGAGATCAGTTATTTATAATTATTTTCTTGTAAGATGTCTGAGTACAGCACGGTTTTGTTGGTAAGAACAATTTGTATCTGTCAGATGCCGTATCATAAAAAAAACAATAAACGTATGACTAAAGTTTAATAAGTCAATAAGAAAAGTTGTCATGAACTAGGAGAGTCTGTCTATTTCTTTTTAATTCGAACGATATTTAGCGGTTTGGCTAATCTTCTCCGGTAGACAAATTGTATTATTCATTACAACCACCCCGCTTCATATACACAGTATAACCACTTTTCATTATATCTGTTTGAAATAAATATATTTAAACAAATTAATTTATGTCATAAAGTATAGAGTGTAGTTACCTCGAACATTCCCTATATTTGCTGTTATAGAATTAATTGTCTATCCTACATTTATCGTAATTATCAATCAAAAGCATACAATTGTATCACTGTGTAACCATTACTAAAATCTGGATGCATGCCCTGCTACGGGCCCGTGAAATGGGGGTTTAACGTCTTAGTGTTCTGCTCAGACTGGGCTAATGACAACACCATACAGTGTGTTATGAGGGAAATTTTGCCCAGACAGCGGCGCTACGGCCTACTCTTATATCGAAGGGTTCTTTTACGTACACGCCAATGTGTACATAAGTCCTCAGTTTTTCGTCCCATCGGAGCGATTATTCGTTGTCCCTTGTCAGGTCCTCAGCCCTGTACTACTGCCAAGGAGGGACCAAGCCAGGAAATCACGATGAATTTTCTCCTTTAACACAGGTATCGAACACGGAGCCTCCAGGTTAGTGAGTCAACGTCTTACTCACTGAGCCACCGTGCCCCCCCCCCATCTTCTAATACCAAACCCTGTATTACACAGGCGTATTTACATATACGAACGCTACAAACTTTAAAATCGTAAGACGCACGCTCTTTAAATAATACAGAGTAAACTTTCAACTATTTTCTCACATTTGTCATTGGTATAGGTTATACTTTACATTGTTACGATAAACGGTCGTTAAAATTCAAAATATGTTAATGATTACAATATAGAATCATTATATAGATCTGTCATTATACAACGAGATCGTTCAGTCATTTTAATAACCCTTGTATAAATAAACACACGTGTTAATATTATAGAAAATAAATACTACACATGTATATGAAAATGAGTTTATACGTAAGCGGACATATAATAATGATTGTGTTGTATTAAAAACCCGAAATAAAACGTGACATTGGGCGTTGAATACATGTAAGACCCTGTAGATAAAGATATGTTATAAACATTTAATATAGATAATAGTGAATAAATAATAAGTATATAGGTAATAAAATATACGTACCCTTTATAATTATGGTAAACAGGCAACGTGTTTCTGTTTTTCCTTAAGCGACTAGTTAAAGATTTTAAAAAAAATAAATAATCCAGGCTGTCAAATTTCGATAAGTCGAATTTTTTACGACTTTTCTCTGTCAGGAGTAACAGCATTTTATCCACTTTAGTGTTTTTAAAATTTCTGAGGACATCTTTTTCCCCCGTTTTGGGTTCAGAGGCGACAAATGACTGACCATTGTCACGACCGTGAGTAATCTCACCCCTCGGGGATTTCGGTAAAGTGCCGTTCGCATCAGCGAAATCAGCATCACTGGTAAAGTTACTTTTATTTAATCTTTTTCTACCGGCACGGAGATGGGGATGTTCCCCCACGGATATATCTCTAAGTCCGACAACTGCATCATTTCTTACAACTGGATCTATAGGGATTAAGTTTGGTAACCCTGTGAACAAAACAACGTGTAACCCTAGTAGTCCGATCACAGTGAACGTTACCACACACACAAATCTATGTTTTAGCTTCATAGTCCCCTTTAGCCATAGCGTACAACCTGTACGGCTCGATACACAATCACTTTTGATCCAACAATCTCAGATGCCGTCTCCCTTTATACTCCAATCGACACACCATACCTGTCGAATACAAAAACAGTATTTAAATCAGTGACGATTTCTAGGTCAGCGATCACTATACCACGTTTTACACACGAGACTTTATGTTCCGTTATAGTTACACACTCACTCTATATGCAGCCTCTGACAGCCCAAGATCTCTAAATCAGCTAGGATAACGGGACAATAGAACGGGCCACAATCTACCGTTACCTCCGATCGCTCTCTTTATTTACCTTTACGTCTCGTCCCTTTCAGGTGGGAAGACACAATCACCCCTTAATAAAGTCATTATAGGCTAAACATCCCCACCTTTTCTCTAATCTTAAAACTTATAAATCTTAACTCTACTTAGCTATCACGACCAAACCTAAAACACAAATGTCATGTTGGTAATCTAACGTATGGCTTTAAACTTTTCTAATTTGTCATCAGGTTTTCATCCCTTCATCCCACAGTTATCTTTGTTTTATCTATTGTCGCCATATTGTTTGTATACAGTTGGCTTCTGATATTGATCTATAAAAGATATATTGTTCAATGATAAGTGCTGGCCAATAATAACAATCAACCCGCCATTATAGAATGAACAGTTTTTTTGAGTGGAGTCCATATTTGCTGCCTGCATCGATTTACTCATGCTTCAATCAATTTAGCATTGTATTAAGCTCTTTTATGGAACATAAAAATTAAACGTTTCACTGATTAATTCGTGTTTTTACTTTGCTAATCAATATTATGTTTCCTATACAATATCCGAAATAATAAACCATACACAAATACAATAGACAAATATTAAAAACAACCATAAAAGGTGTTTAGTCTGCTAAAATTAGTTTACTTGCCATTATAGCCCATCTACCTATTATAATAATGTGATCTGTTTGCCATTCTCACAATAATGAAATACGAATTCCGGATATCATTATACATTTTAGTAGGAAAACTAATAATGGGATAGATACCCTTTGCATAATCCTGTTTATGTTATACGAATAAATCTATAGAAAATAGAGAAAAATGTTATAATTACTACTATAGTATCAAAAATAAATGAATGAAAACTATTTTGTATGAATTAGTGAAAGATTTGATTAGTAATTGAATAGCGTTGAATCATGTTTGGGGAGATTACATTTAAAATAAAACCCGAACAAATGATTCTGTATTAAGTTATTTTGTTAACCCTGACAAAATATCGAGTTTTAAGTGGTCAAGCTTCTGTAGTATAGCAACTGTCGAGAGTATTACATTTTACAGATTATCAGATTACTGTTTCCAATAAATCAACATTGATGTATCCATGAGTCAAAACGTGAATCTACAATTTGTTTTATTGTATATATATAAATTAATAGACAATAAGCAATACCATCTTATCCCTCATCTCATATCAACTGTATAAGGTCAAATTTCACATGTAAAGAAATAGGGAATGGGGTTTAACGTCCTATTTTAAGCACTAACCGGGGCGGGTGGATGGTTGGATGGTTAGTGCGTGCGCGTTGTTTCATAAAATATATGTCATTCTCCGGTTGTACGTGACAAGGAGTAGGGTTGTCTGTCCACTGCTAAAAGACCCCTGCGCGCAAGAGGATTATTGAAATAAAAATGAACCATATGTTAGTCCCAAAATGACCTAGTTTGTGTCGAGTGGACGTTACCCCCCCCCCCCCTCTATCTCTCTCTCTCTCTCTCTCTCTCTGGGCTAATAAAAATGGTGCACGCCATACCGTGTTCTGTGAGTGAAATTTTATTGCGAAACAGTTTAACAGGTTATTGTACGATGCACACCAGTGGTCTCTGTCTTCCGTCCCATCCGAACGACTAGATTTTATCCCCATAAGAAGAATTGACGTTCGAAAATCACGGGAAATTTCTCAGCCAATACCTGGATCGATCCCCGGACCTCCAGTGGTAAGTGAGCTTCCGCCCTAATCTCTGAGCCACATTGGCTCCCCAAATTACATACCAAGTCAAAGTACAAAATTATTAGAAAGCTGTGTATAAACATATCTTTCATAATTAATAAAACATAATTTGAATATGTTTTTGCAATATGTTAGAACGGAAAACAGTTTTAACGTTCGTAAAAAAAATATTATTTCAAAGTTCGACGGAAATTCGTGCCAGTAAGAAACCACAACTTTTATAAACATGGACGAAAATAGCTTCAAGTGTACACTAAACTAATTATCATCGTTTTTAATTGGTTTGCAACTTCATTTATTTGATAACCAACAACCAACGGGTTTTGTATCTAAAAGCCACAAATACACACCTGTCTGTTTATAGAATAATTATGTGGGAGGTTGATGTCTGCAGGATGTATGCAAAAAGCTTTAACTTTGATCACATGAACATGTTTAGCTGTAGTAGATAACAATGTTATTTAAATAATTTTAAAGGTCATTTTAGGGCACAGTGAAGCCGACCAAAGGCCTGACTGTCATTTTTAAATGCTCTTCAACAATTATTTCGATTGATCTATAAACGAAAATTATTTACAGTTTAATAGATCTAATAACTTAATAATGAATTTTGTGTTATCTCATTCACATTAGTGACATTAGCATTTTAGTGGTTGTTTCCCGGACATGATGGTACTAGAGGATATATTTTTTATGAACGATTTGTGTTTTTAATGTTAGATCAAACATTTACGATCGAATGTAGGAATACTACTATTAAAACAATGGACATAAGTACATACACTATGTTTTTGTTTCTGCCTCGAGGAAAACAACTAAATTATCACGTCACAGTATGTCAAACCTCTTGTTGTTGCGTGTAAGATATGTTTCAATAACTTACGGGGAAGTCAAAAACATTTAAAGTCAGGGATTTCCTCTCGACTAGAATGTACCCGGTTTGAAGCATGAAGTACATGTACCTTTGGGATTTTTCAAGCCATCTTGTCAGGGGTAACGCCTGCTAGGATGACAAGAATGTTTCAAGCCCGGTTCTATCTTGTCAGGTTAACGCCCGTGTGTCTGACAAGGAAAAGTGTGCCTTTTTCTTCAAGTGCGACGAAAACCGAGATCTATCCGTGTACAAATTGACCAAAGAATTGTGTTGACGCTGTTCTGTTCCGACTGGGCTAATGAAGACGAGCATACGCTATACAGTGTGCTATAAGGGAAATTTTGCCCGGACAGCGGCGCTACGGCCTACTCATGTCGAATTCCAACGGGACCTCGGTTTTGCGTCCCATCCGAACGACTAAACAGCTGTCCTTATCAGACCCTCCGCCCTGCACCACTGACAAGGGGAAACCACTTAGCCACCGTAGCTCCTGTGTTGACGAGAAGTTAAACCCCTTTCAATTTCATATAACAACTAACCTATATATTCAGTACTTCTGACATTCCTTTTCATAATGTATACGGGTGTCAGACTTTGCTCGTTATTCCGAACATCGAAATGCACTTATGTATCTATGATAAGAGAATGCTAACAAAAAACGGAAATGTCGTGCTGCCATGTTATCATAACATAATCAAACATATGAAACTTTTCTTCAGATTATAGATTACTTATATGACAATAATGAGTCTACTTACTTTTTGTTTATTATTTGAAACGACGCGAACTTCCTCCTAATCTTACACCCAACTGAGATACATGACGAGTGTGAGACTAATAGTTGGAGTACAGTATATAAAGACATAGACTATAAATTGGCCACGACATAATTTTAACTGTAAATCTCTGTGATGAATGAGATATATTTTTATAACGTACATTATGACAATTTGCCCTGCTTTAAACTATGTGTAAATATATTAATGATAACACTCTTGTTATACGATTAACAAGTCGCTTATTGACAATACAAGATGTTAAAAGGTGAACTGTTAAAGGTAACACTATAAATGGCACCTCGGGGTATATGAAAATTTCTGTGAGAATCTTAAACTAGAAGAAATCGATCGCGCATTTTTCGGAGTACATCTATATTTTTTTCAACAATATTATTATAGGTTTACACAACTGAATCAACCGAAACGTATTCAAATGGACTTTTTGGGGCAATATATTTCCGTTTTTTGGGCAAAAACTCGTTTTAATTAATGATTGATTCATTCTGAAAATTCAAGAGACAAAAAAAAAAGATTTTTCGGTCAAATTGCCACAGCCCCCCCCCCCCCCGCCCCCCGCCCCCAACTGAGATTGAAATGAAATGAAATGCAATGAAATGAAATGGGGTTTAACGTCCTACTGTTCTGCTCCTATACTGGGCTAATGAAGACGGGCATACGCCATACAGTGTGCTATGAGGGAAATTTTGCCCGGGCAGCGGCACTATCGCCTACTCTTATATCGAATTCCAACTGCCAAGGGATCTTTTACGTGCATTCCAATGTTTACACGGGACCTTGGTTTTTCGTCTCATCCGAAGGACTAGACAGCTGTCCTTGTCAGGCCCTCCGTCCTGCATCACTGACAAGGGGAAACCACGTCGGAAAATCGGGATGAACTTTCTCGGCCAATGCAGGGATCGAACACCCGACCTCCAGACTAGCAAGTCAGCGCCTTACCCACCTAGCCACCGTGGCTCCCAACTGAGATTGACCTCCTACGCCTATATTAAAGACGTCTAGAAGATACTGGGTTTTGCGAAATTTCCAAATCATCATATCTGAGTCAATATTAATATAAAAAACAATTTATCAATTTTTGGACTGAAATTCCTATCTGAGAGTCAAATGTCACAATATTGTAGTTTGCAAGGGATTAAAATTCCGGATATGAAGATCAGCTGCTTTAAATAATTACAGAACATTCTTCCAAATATCATTATATCACACCACATAAGGCGAGATTATTTTAAAGTGAGAATTGCATTTTTAAGTTATATGTTTAAAATAGGCTAAAATAAAGCCTTAAAATGCATGGCATACAGACAGTCCTACTTTCATAAAGAATAATCCTAAATCCTATAATTCACTTGCGTCAGTTGATAAATTGGCAAATATATTATTTTCTTTTTTAAAGCAAACGTTGACTCTTACGGCTTT